TTTTTAGTCAGGTGACTATAACTGGATATAAATGTGTTGTCATGGTTAATAATTTATGAATTAACTACCAATGCAGTAGAAACCTGCAGCTCCCTTTCTGAGAACCACTTATTCATGTCAATCTACAAATGTGCTTTAATATCACCTAGATTAAAAAATATTTCCCTTGACCCCCCCCATATTTTTCTCTGCCTATTGTTTCATTTCTTGAACTCTGTACTGAGAAGAGCTCCCTATGCTTGTTGTCTACACCTGCTGTCTCACTCCCCTTTCATTCCTAACACACTCAAAATGGGCTCAAGCCCCCTCCACATAACTGGAATGGCTCTTTTTAAGGTCAGACGACCTATATGTTGCCAAAACTCATTCACTGTCGTCAACCTCTTCCTTGTTTTAGTGGCATCTATGCAGTCGACCTTGTACCTCTAGCAGTTTTCTACCTATGCCAGGTCTTGTCTTTTTCCTGGGTGGCGCAGTCACAGTGAGTGTCCCATCCTTTTTTCTTCTTTTTTCTCTGACCTCTTCATGCGACAGAGCTCAGCATTTGCTCCCTCCCCCTTTCTCCCTCTACTCTCCGTCTCCTGGTGATCACATTCAATCTCCTGGCCCTTCTGACCTCGCCATTTGGGTGTAATAGATCTCTCAGACTTCATGTGTCCAAAATAAACTCCTGATCCCTGCCCTCCTTCCAGAGTTTGTCCTATAGCTGCTGTCTTCTCTACCTCAGAATGAGACCCATCTTCCGCCTTGCTCAGTCTAGAAACCTTGCGTGCATTCTTTACTCCTGGCTCTCACATAGCATTCTCTGGGCTCCACCTTCACCCCGTGCAGCCTTTCCTCACCGCTTCGATTACTGACAGCCTAAGATGAGCCAACGTCTTCTCTCCCACAGGTGGTCTTCTTGCTTCCGCCCTTGCCCACCGGCAGCCTATTCTGAGGGGCTGTGACTCTCAATCAAAGTAAGAGCTAAATCCTTCCAAAGGCCTCTGAGCTCCTAGATAAGCTGTGCCTTCCCTCTACCCATCATCTCCCTCCTCCTGTTTCCTCTCCCTTCCCTCTCTGTGTCTGCTCCAGTCACAGTGGTCTTCTTGATGTTTATGGAAACGTACCATCCTTGGGGCGTTCGCACTGGATGTTCACTCTGCTGGGAAGGCTTCTGTTCCTGTGCCCACATTCCCAACTCTCCCTTCCTTCAAGATTTTGCTTAAATGCCAGTTTTGCAGTGAGGATTGCAATTGGCAATGCATTCTTCACCTCACCTCTGAAACTCCCAGCCCTCTTGTCCTGTTCCATTTTATTTTCCACTGCACTTACCATCTTCTAGCATGATAGAATTGACTTATGTTTATTGTTTGCCTCTCCCCTCACTAGAATGTAACCCCCAGAAGGCAGAAATCTGTGTCATTCACTGATGTTTCCCAACATGCCTAGAACAGTGCCTGGTTTAGAAAGCTCTCGATGTGTAATTGTTGGATGGATGAATAAAGGTGGAGTAAGTTTGGGCCGCACTACCCAAAATAGGTTTAAGTGCTGTGCATCCCAGCTTACCTCCCCCCGCCACCCTGTACATTTCTTTATCACAAAATTGCAATTTTCCTTTATGGAAAAGAGCTTTTCTTTGGTCTTTCTTTGTGAGTTTCTCCAAAGGAGATGAATGAACTCCATGTTCTCTTTGATGTTTCTAAGAAAGATTCCAGGTTCATGTTGGCAGGGCCATGTACTACTACTGGATGGCCCGACCAGAGTGTCTTCTCATGCATGTACTACAGCCAATACAACAGCTTCACCTGCCTCATTTTAGTTTTGTGTTACAGAAAGATGGCGCAATTATATATTAGGGCATGATGTCTAGGAGTACATTTTTTTAAAAAGATTTTATTTATTTATTTGAGAGAGAGAGAGCACAAGCAGGGCAGGGGCAGAGGGAGAAGCAGACTCCCCACTGAGCATGGAGACCAACTTGGTGCTTGATTCCCAGAACCCGGGATTCACGACCTGAGCAGAAGGCAGACACTTAACCAACCGAGCTACCCAGGCACCCCTAGGAGTACATTTTTGATCTTCAAAACGTATTCAGCACAGGGGCGCCTGGGTGGCTCAGTCGTTAGGTGTCTGCCTTCAGCTCAGGTCATGATCCCAGGGTCCTGGGATCGAGTCCCACATCGGGCTCCCTGCTCCACGAGAAGCCTGCTTCTCCCTCTCCCACTCCCCCTGCTTGTGTTCCTGCTCTCGCTGTGTCTCTCTCTGTCAAATAAATAAATAAAATCTTTAAAAAAAAGTATTCAGCACATTTCCAGGACCCATGACTATGGGGTCCCTCCTTCACCTCCACCTTTCCTAGGGATAGCCTAGGATGGAAGACAGCACTGCTTTCATAAGCCTCTTTCTTCTGCAAGAGAGACCTTTAGCAAAGAAATTTCCTCTCTGACACTCTTTGAAAGAGTTCAAGCACATTTAAGCATGGTTACACACCCCTTCTGAGTGTATGGGGAGAGGAAACATACTATGTTCACAGGCATTTGTATCAAGGTACATGTTGGAAAGCTATAGGAAACTGGTCATGCCGGAAAGCGAATCTTCTCCTTTCTCAACCTGATCACTCTGGTAACACTTTATCCCATCACTCTGTCACTTCCTTCTTAGCACCTACCAAATTACTAATTATCTGGCTATTATATTTATTATGTAATTGTTATATATGCACATAGTTGTTCATATATTTATATACATGCATTTTATATACTTGTAATAATATAATTGTTATATATAAGATTATTTTATTGTTTTTACCTGTGTCCTCTACCAGACCATGAACTCTATGAGGGGCAAGGGCTGTATCTCCAACATTGAGTGCAGAGTCTGGAATAGATGGTTCTCTTTATATGTTTGAATAAATAGGTAAAAAGCTAAAGTGGGTGGCTCAGCTATTAAACATCTACCTTCAGCTCAGGTCATGATCTCAGGGACCTGGGATGGAGCCCCACGTTGGGCTCCCTGCTCAGCAGGGAGTCTGCTTCTCTCTCTCCCTATGCTCCTCCCTGCGCTCATGCTTTCTCTTGCACTCTCCCTCAAATAAATAAATAAAAATCTTTAAAAAAAAATAAAATGAAAGAAGGCAAAAGAAGTATACCTGCCTATTATGGTCAATGCTGTGCCACAGTAAAATTAATTTATGTGCCTTTATGTGTGCCATGGGGCCTTATCTGAGATTTTTGTCCTGCAACTACAATGGAAAAGATCATCTGACTGCAAGTTTGTATCTGGCCTTAAATTCTAGGTCTTTCCCAGGTGAGTCTTCAGGTCACAGTTTCTTTATTAGTAAAGTGAGGGCATAGACCGGGAATTCTCTAAATTACTTCCACTCTTTTAGTGTTTAGCATATTTTCATTATATATTATTATAAAACTTGTTAGTAATTTTGTTGACAATTTCCTGCATTTCAGCCCCCTCTCATTTTGATTCCTACTGTGTGCTTGTACTTTGCTGATCTACCTAGCTTCAGACATGTGATTTGAAGGCCCAGTTTCATATACAGATAAAATATTTCATGTTCTAATGGTGAGCTTATATTTATAACGTGATTTTTTATATCACATCTTTATTTTTTAATTTAATGTAGAAAAGTTACACAGTAACCAGTGTTAGTCTTAATTTTTAATCTTTCAGTGCCCAAATTACTACTCTACTAGTAGAATAAATAAATAGGATCTGCTTATAGTTTTCAAGCAAGAAGAAAGCACAGAGATCATTTCATCCACATTCCTTATTTTACTAAGAATGGTAAAAAGACAGTGACTTGCCTGGCATCACATCAGTTATAACTAAACTAAACGTAACTAAAACACACATAGCTGGTGGCTCTCAGTCCTTTGCTTCTGAAACTACAATCTAGTTCAGCTCTATGAGATGGCTGTTTATGGTGCACAAGATAGACATAGGTATTACTCTCATGGAATTTACCATCCACTGAGATAGAGATAAGAAAATTATTCATAATTATAAGGAGGATTACAATGTGCTATAATCTAGCACATAGCCAAGGAAATTGAACCTAGATGAAGGCTCATGGTAGGCCTAATGATGATTTCATAGAAGTTGAAAATGCAAAGGAGTCAGTGTGGCAATGAGGGAAGAAGAACATTCTAAGGCACACCAAACAGCCCATATGAAGACCTAGAATGAGTAGATGGTATGTGAAAGGAACCGAGTGAAGGTGAGAAGGAGCCCGAGGGGCAGGGGGAAGAGAGCTTAAGATAATAACCTAGGTGCAGATCAGACTTCGGGTGGCCATATAGACCATGGCACGGATTAGCTGGATTTGGATTGTAAGGTTCTAAGTAGTAGAGTGGCCATTCTTGGAAGTTGTGCAAATTCCTTGAGTATCAGTTTATTTCCAGTGGCATAAAAGCAGAGTCCACACCAGTCTTCACGCTGATCCTGACCCAATTGCTCAGCAGTGATTTTCAGGAGGCATGGGAGGTGCAGTTGGTTCTGCCTGTTGTCCTGCCCTTCTGGGTCAGCACCACCATTGCCTTGCTGTCTAACCTGTTCACAGACTCATGTTTGGACTGGCTTTCTGACAGTGTTTGGAATAGTCCCCTCTTGACCTGGCAGCTACCCACTTCTGCCGCTTGGCCTCGCTTGAAATGTTGTGATCCTATCTCAGTATCCGAGGATGCCAATTTGACTCTCAGCTGCTAGCAGCCTGTGGATTTGAGTCCCAGTAATGGTATTGGTCACTTAAATTTATATCTTTTGGCATCTAACTTGTTATCAGAGTTTCAAAAGAATTGTAAGCATTTGCTGCCTATATTGCTTTTCTTTATTAAGAATGTGTGGCTTTTAAAATAATGACTGAATTTCTAACGACTTATAATTTAGTTATAAATTGACATGATTTATAAATTGACATGATTTAATTTTTTAACATTTTGCTATGGGTAGTGGAAGTGATGGACACTGTGTGTTCAGCTGCTCTTTATTTCTTCTTTAATTTACAGTTTTCACGTGTACTGAAGAATAGAGCCTGGCCCACCTTTAAACAGGCCAAATCTAAAATCTCCCCACTACACAGCAGTGATTTCTGCCCTACCAACTGCCATGTCAACATAATGGAAGTTTCCTATCCCAAAACATCAACCTCCCTGGGGAGTGCATTTGGTGTTCAGCTGGATAGTAGGAAGCACAATTCTCATGATAAAGAAAATAAATCTGAGCAAGGTATGTTAGCTTTCGAAACTTTCTCAAGTCACAAAAAGTAATTTAGGCAATTACTAACTATTCCAGCGTCCCTGAAATAGAATCAATTCCTGGTGTGTAAACAAATCTGAATTTTAGAAAGACAGGATTCCTCTCTATACTCATTTGGATAATTATACATAAATGTTTATAGAATAAAAAAGGAGTCATGCATTTTTATTTATTTTTATTTTTCCTCTAAGAAGAACGATTGTTCTTGCTTTCCTTACATGTATGACAGGCACAGCTTATCCTGCTGTGAAAACCACTAGTCTGAAATGGCCCTATAAGTGTAAGAAAAATACAGGAGGAGCAGCTTCTGGGATGCACGGTGCCATTCCACACCATCATAGTAGAGCATGAGATTGAAGGGTATTTTAATCACAACTCCCAAAGCTTTAATTCCTGAATTAAATTCAGCATTGGATTGGCATTTTATTTTATGTAAGCCCGAGTGTCTAGAATGAATTGCGCTAGATCATTACTGTAAGTTAAAGGTCATATATATTATTCTGGAATGATTTTAACTCCTCAGGGAAACTGAGCCCTATGGTGTACATTCAGCACACAATCACGACCATGGCGGCCCCTTCAGGCCTGTCTCTGGGACAGCAGGATCGGCATGGGCTCAGGTACTTATTAAAAGAAGAAGACCTAGAAACTCAAGATATTTTTCAGAAACTGTTGGGCAAACTTCAGACTGCACTGAAAGAGGTGGAGATGTGTGTTTGTCAAATTGATGAGTAAGTATTTTATTTACTGTACTTCTAAATGTGCCTAATAAAATAGCTGTAGAAAATGTGACTTTCGAACATCCATCAGTCTCTCTTTCGTTTTTAGAAATGTCAGATTGTGTGTGTGTGAATCATATAGATCCTCTTTATTCTAACACCTTAAAAGTGATATAACATGGCAAATATGTACATGTATATTTTAAGGAAGCACTTAATACCAGGGAAGAGAGTGACAAAATTCTGTCTTATAGAAAACACTAAGTCTCAATGTTGAAAATATTAAACTGAAAAATATGATTGAAAGAGGACCAACTAGGTACACAGATTTCCTGGTATCCTTGATAGAGCAGAACACAGTAATGTATATGCACTCAGTAGATGCATATGAAAAATATAAAATATAGCAAATCTTTAACATACTTATTAAATGAGTAAATGCAAAATTATGTTTCACTATGACCAATGACCAATGAATGACCTTTTTTTTTTTCTTCTTCTTCTGATTGAATTAATGGTTTACTAAGCAATAACCCAAATAGCCGTGCCGGTCATTTGGAAATTTTTATCAAGAACGGAGAAGAGGAGGAAGTTAATTAAAACTTTTCCAAAGAGGTTAACTCTGATTCTTATTTAAAAATTTGATGGTTGGACAATTGCCTCAACTCTGTGGGATGATCTGCCACATCATGGTGTGTGATTATGTGTCACAGCTAGTCAAGGCAAATCTGTATAAAGAACAAGGCTTTGGGATAGCTTGGTCTCTCATGTATTAAACAGGATGAAGAATAATAACAAATTACAAGTTTGTGGTGAAAATTATAAAAGTTAATACAAAAAATAGTGCAGTGCCTAACATTATGCTTGCTCATCGTTCAAGGGGTTGAAATTGGTGAATATATCTGAAGTTGATAGAATTCGAAAATGGCATAGGCACCCATTATCCTCTTTTTATCGTGCTCTTTTTATGAAGTTAGACATTTAGATTGCTGTCAGATGTGTATTGTTTAATTCCCACATGTACATCATCCCATACTTCCCTGGATAATTCAGTTTTGACATAAAATATTTAGAACATATTCTAAGCCTTTTTGGTAATTGGACATTATACTAAAAATCTTAATTCACATGATCTCTCTTTTTTAAATGTTTTCTTATTTTTTTAATCTTATTTATTTATTTGAGAGAGAGAGAGACCACGAACACGAGTGGGGTGGAGGGGCAGAGGGAGAAGCAGGCTCCCCGCCGAGCAGGGAGCCTGATGCAGGACTCGATCCCAGGACCCTGAGATCATGACCTGAGCCGAAGGCAGACCCTTAGCCGACTAAGCCACCCAAGCACCCTGACATGATCTCTTATTTTACACATCTTTAAAATTTAGAGATCAAAATTACCATATTAGATGCATCATATTTCTAAGGTTATCTTTAGATAGTTACTATTTACTATGCTAATTTGTTCTGACATTTTTGCGAATTAATTTAGACTTGAAATTCTGTTTTCCTGTGTCTAATACACTAGTTTTAAAAAATTGTTTATTATATCGGTATATTATTTTGTGACTGTCCCATTTACAGATGAATTAAATAGTTTGGGGCTGCTGAGAGAACAGGGGGCTATTTTTAGGCAATTGTATGATACTTTGGATTGTTTGAGAATGACCTTGTGACACATAAGTTAATATCTTAGGGCATTATATTTTGTTTCATTTAATAAATGGAATTTTATTATATGATATGTTCTATTTTAGAAACCAGGTTTTTTTTCGTCTTTTTTTTCTCCCTAAAGTATTTAGGGGGTGCACAGAGTAAGAATCTTTATTAATAAGGCAATAAATAGTGGCACTGAATCATGTATCCTAGCTCTCAGAGGGATTTTAGGAGAACATCTGGACCAATCCCACACTGCCAGTCAGGCCAAGAGTTATTATTCCTGCTTTTCAGATGAGTCCTTTACCAGTGGCAGGATTATTGATGTGCCTGAGCAGATACCACCTCGGAGACCAGGCCTCTAATGCATTGACTACTCAGCACTTCCCGGCAGTTGTCCAGACTTTGGCTGTCTTTGTTAATTTATTGATTTTTTTTTTTTAAGTTTAGCTGATGTAGATATATTTTCAAGAAAACAGAGCCAAAGGGCTCCCTTTACTTGGCTTAAAATGCTTTATATTTAAAGCACTCATTTAGGGGCGTTAAGCTATTTTTATTAACCAAAACTACTTAAAATAATTACCTATTTTTACTTAAGATTTTCCCACTTTGTTATTCTAAAAGCCTTTCCCCCACTGTGCATGTTTATTAGGAAAATGACATGAAATGAGCAAGTGATTTGAGAAACTTCCTTGGTCTTCTCTGTGTGCACCATATAATTTAATTCTAAATATAAATATGTTCCACATAATTCAATGTGCAATATAATCCCTTTAAAACCGTGCAGTCATCCAAGTGTCCGGATTCCCTATTGCCCCATTCAGACATACTGCAGTGCAGTCGAGCTTGACAAATTATTTGAAAAGCTAGTTACTAAACAATTTTCTCACCATGTAGTAATTATTCTTGGTCAGACATAGATGCCTCTGCAGAGCTGAGAAGCAGATCTCGGATACTCTGCCAAGTTTTAAGAGAAATTGCCTCACAACATCTTATTGCTGGCCTTTCTAGAAATCCTTCATTCCTGGGAAAGGGCCTGGTCGTGAGCTTGTCTGCTTACCCTGCCACTTGGGAACACTTCTAGAAATAAAATTTCCTTCAACACATAGACATTCCACTAAATGCTTCTACTTCCGTCGGATCCAAAGATGGGACTAGAGACACATTAGTTGTCTATTAACATTAAATAAGGTGATGTTATGATTATTCAACATTCTATGGTTCCTGTCTCATTGAAGCTAAATACTTTTGTCCTTCAATGGGCTATTTTCTGTGTAATGACACTTAGGTACTAGACAGAAGTAAAGGGCAAAATAATTTGTGGATAATCCAAAACCATTGACGGGACTTCAGAATACCGCGTTTGTGTGTTCTCTCAGGGAGGAGACGAATAAAGAATCGTGGGGGCTGGTGAAGATAGGAAAGCTGAGAACAGACCTGCCTTTTATAGGTGCCAGATGCCCCGGACTGAGTGATGAACAAACTGCACTGTGGGACACTTAGTGAGCTGGGCTTACAGGTAGGAATAGGGCTGTCGGTGGAATTATCTTTGAGGTTTTCCCAAGCGTTTTGCTGGTAAAAAAAATGAAAAGAGGACCCAGCTTCATAAGCACTAACGTGTATCATAGGGGTTTATGTGCCAGGCACAGTTTTATCAGTACATGCACTGCTTGATTTCATTCCTACCGTCCTTCTGTGATGCGGGTTATGAAACACAAGGACATAGCACATTAAATCTCGAACTTAAAATTTGTTTCCAAAACTGAATTCTAGATTTCCTTATACAGAAAGCTACTCTGACTCCTCCCCCATGAAGGCGTTCCCTCTCCTCAGGAAAGTATCCCCCATCTGTTCAGTTCTGTAAGCCAGAGTCTGGGTATTACCTTTAATTCTTCTCTTTCCTGCCCCTTCACCTCCAGTACCTTATCAATTTTGGTCAAGTATACCTCAGAAAGTATACCTCAGAATGTATCCGCTCCATCACCCAATATTGTCCCCTCACTAGTGCCCACTGTAGGAGTTTCCAGGTATGCCCTTCTAATGCATTCTACATACAGCAGATGCCAGCCAGAGGGATCTGTAAAGGTAAATCATGCTAGTTCCCTGCTTAAAACCATTTCATGGCGTTGGGATGCCGTTAAAATAATAACTACATTATTGTGGCCTGTGTAGCCCTACACAGTCTGCCCCTGTCATCCTCTTTAGTCTCATGTCTCTGAGCTCCAGCTGCACTAGTTTTTTCTGCTCCTGGAACAAGTCAAACCTCTGCGTGGTCAGTGCTGCTCCCGAGGTCTGCGGCTAGCCTTCTAGGCACTCAGGTATCAGGCTAATGCTGATTTGTAGAGAGGCTGTGCCTACTTCCCCAGGATAAGGTAGACACTCCTATATCCTAGTCAGATATGTCATCCTTCTAGGTATCCTACTCTCTATACAGCTGGTTTTTGTTTTATGTTAACAAAACCCTAAAGCCTCACAGACTTTTTTTTTTTTTTTTAAATAGATTTATTTAGTGGGTGGGGAGAGAGAGAGAGCGTGAGAAAGCAAGCACGCGCGCGCCTGTGCGAAGCCTCACAGACTTTAAACAACAGGCTTTCTCTCTTGCTCACTCTCCGTGCCCATCTGGGTCATAGGGTTTCTGCTCCACGCTGACCTCACTCAGAGTTCAGGCTGACAGAGCCCCATGAGCTGGAATGTCTCTCGTTGTCCCATCAGTGAGAGGGAATGAGGTAGGCTGCACCTTTGCTTAAAGGCTTGCATCTAGAAGGGACTCACGTCACCTCCACTTATGTCATACTGATGAAAACAAGTTTCATGGTCATTCTTATCCTCATGGGGTAGGGGAGGCCACCCAGCCATGTGCCCAGGAGAAGTGGGATGTGGTAGATAACACTAATGACTTCCTTCCTCCCTCCAGAGTGTATAAATGATATGCAGAGAGGGGATGTTCTGCATCATTTGTAAAGTATATGTATATAAGTGTCTGCCTCACTCACCCCATCTCCAAAATGAGGATCCTCACCATAATAATAGTCCTACCTACTTCATAAGGAGGTTTTAGGATTGAATGAATTAAGTCCTTAGCATGGTGACTGGCATAAGAGCTCAACAAATGTTAGGTATGATGAAAATGATAAAGATGGTGATATTTAAGTCTCAGTTTAATAGAAAAACACACAGGTGACTGCAGGATACTATGTACAAAAATCTTTATTCATCAAGGGTGTGAGAAGGAGATTGAGCCGCTCAGGATTTTAATTGAGAACGGACCTAGAGTAGGTAGCTCAATATTTTATATGAGCAAAAGTGAAGGAAAGCTCTTTCTGTATGCACACACATTATAAAGCTAAATTTATGCATTATTATTACTTTTAAGAATCTGGGAATGTTATGCAAAAACATGGTGTCAAAAACACTGCTTTTCTATCATTTGTTTGTAAGCCTAACACTTGTTCCCATGGGGTCAGTGCAAGCATGATTGTAGCTGCTTAAAATGAAAAGCAAATATGTGAATATAATTCATATGACTTGGAAAAAAAAATGAGGATGCTCGGTCCCATGACTTCTAATTTAAAAGATACATAAAGCACAGAGTACTCCTTGCAAAATGAGAACTCCTGCATCTGCTTCCTCTTTGGTATTCAGAGTTCATCTGTCTGTGCAGTGTAGAGCTTGGGTAATTAGAGTTAATCTAATGTTTTAAGCTTTTGGGTGGAGGGAGTGAATAAATACACATCTGTCTTCCAAGACATAAAAGTATCTGTGCAAATAGAAAAACTGTTTAAAACAATTTATAGCTTCACAGGGCCTTGAGCAATGTAACACAGCCCCCTGATTTTCACTGGTACCTAAAAGCTATAAAATGCCAAAATATTATCCAAATGTTATCTCACAGTGAGACCTGACTACACTATTTGAAGTCACAGCTCCATCTCCCTTCCCTTCTTTATTTTCCTTTTTAACATTTGTCGCCATGTGATATACTATACAATTTACTTGTTTATTGTTTGTTTCCTCCCAGTAGAACCTAAGCTCCAAGAGGACAGGAGCTTTTGTTTGTTTTGTAAACTGCTGTATGCACAGCACCAAAACAGTGAATGGTACAATAGATGTGTCTAATGAACTAATTAGTGAAATCTCTTAACATAATATTTACTTAGTGCACAGCATTGGGTTTGACATGGTGGGTTGTACGTAAGAGGTATAAGACATTCTCATAGTCTTGAAATAAAACAAACATGACATTGCTGTGGAAGAATGAGCGTGAAGATATGTACATAAGTGCTGTGGACTAGAACAGAATGTTGCTCGTACTTGGTAAATGAGAAGGTGATTGTTGTTGGCTGGAGAGACAATGCAAGGGCCGTTTGTTAAGATACGGTTTAATTCATTTTGCAAATTTTACAGCAATTTGTTTGATAGCAAAGACTGATTCCACATTTGCATAATTTTGAGTTAGTACTAACAAACTCTTTACAGCCCAACGTTCAAGTCTGGAGTGATGGAATCCATGTTGCCCAAAGTCCACATCAAGTGTGACACCAATTCAGAACTGAAGATTGTGTTTTAGCCTTGAGCCCAAGTGGAAGAACTTTACATTTGGGCAGATTCGCGACATGCCATCGTGACTAGATTGTGGATGATATGGGGATAGCCCCTGCTGCCTCCTGTCCTCACATTGTATGCGACTCTCTTTAATGTCTTACGGTTGTGATGGCCAGAACACCTGCTTGTATGAGCACTGAGAAAGGACTGACCACATGATATTCTTCCTGTCAAATAGAGACAGCTTGGGAGAAACGCAAGGCGGGGGTAGGTGGGTAGATGGGTTTTTAATATCTGAGGGTAAGCCAGTGAGGATAGGTAAGCACGTTCAGTGTTTATTTTAATATTTGGGTAGCACTTTAAAGTTGTCTAGATATTTTTAGATGGTAGTGATAATGGCTAGGAGAGAGAGGTAGCCCCCTTTATGTACCGGAGTATCTTCTCATTTCAGTGTCACAGAATCATATGGGCTAGCTATTCTCCATAGATGCCAAAGAGAATTATCATAGTGTTGTGATAACAAAACTAGTAAGTAGCGGAACCAGGTTTCGAGCACGGTTTTCTAGGCTAAATTGTGTGATGTTTCTGTTACTTGTTCTGACAGGAAAAAGTGAACTTCATGTGACTGTTTTTTAATACAATCAAAGATTAATTTTATGTGAAACAGAAACACTCTAGAAATATTTCTAAGCCTATCATATTCAACAAGTAAGGTACTTACCTGTGGCGGCCAGTTTGAAAATGTGCACTTATTTTCTTTTTTAATATCACATTGCAGCCTTCTGTCTTCCATAACATATTCTCCTAAATTAGAACGTAAGACATCAGAGTGCATAGTACCACCAGACAGTGACAATGAGAAGGGAGAAAGAAATAGCAAACGAGTCTGTTTTAATATGGCAGGAGACGAGCAGGAAGATTCAGGTCATGACACCATCAGCAACAGAGACTCTTACAGGTAATTCATTAATTCCTTAAACTCATCTCATCAACACAGCCAAATATGATTCCTTATTTTCCACAGAGGTCTTGAAAAAAACATTTCGATTATCATTTTTGTTTATTGCCCTCACAAAATGGCTATTACCAACCCCAGACAAAGCATAGTGGTCCTGCAAAATCTTTGAAATTATTCTTTTTTCATAATCTGAGTAATTTGGAAAAAGCATTTTTTTCTCCATCTCTGTGGACCTAATTTGGGGGACTTGTTCTGTTACAGATTGTGTAGCATGTATAGCAGATAAGCAAATTGAGCCTATATTAACATTTTTTTCAGATATCTGTTTCTGATTATTGGACTGTCGGATGGTTCTTTTTGTTGTGTTTCTCCCCTTTTTTTCTTGTATTCTGTGTTCTCAGGGAATTGGACTAATTTTTCCTGCTCACCTCCATGACCAGCTTTGTGTCTTTTTTTCTTCCCTTGCACATGTTCTAAAGATTTTTTTTTTTTATTATTCATTTGAGAGTGAGTGAGCAAGCGAGAGCAGGAGCAGTGGGGAGGGTCAGAGGGAGAGGGAGAAGCAGACTCCCCACTGAGCAGGGTGCCAGAAGCGGGGCTTGATCCCAGGACCCCGGGCTCACAACCTGAGCTGAAGGCAGGCGCTTAACCCGCTGAGGCACCCAGGTGCCCCTCTCTTGCACACTTTCTGTACAATCTTGGTAGGATTGCTGTAACAAAGTACCAAGGACTGGGTGGCTTAAACAGCAGACATTTATTTATTTATTATCCGACAGTTCTGGGGCAGAAGTCCATGATGAAGGTGTCAGCAGGGCTGTTTTTTTCTGAGGTCTGTGCAGGAAGGATCAGGTCTAGGCCTCTCTCCTTGGTTGTCGATGGCCATCTTCTCCTTAATGACTTCATTTTAACTTGATTATGTCTGTAAAAACCCTCACTCCAAACAAGGTCGTATTCCTGGGTCCTGAGTGTCAGACTTCAACCTCTGGATTTTAGGGGGAGATGCAGTCAACCTGTAACACCTTCTCTCCAAAGTCTTGTCATCTGCCTGCCATCATCCTTCCAACGATGGCAGCTCCAGTGAACTTCCTTACGTGAAAATGCTAGTTCTCCCTTGAGTCCTCGTGTCACCTGACACCTCATTGAGAACTGTCGTCACCGGCCATATGTGCTGCGTGTGTGGCTTCAGCATCTCCTGTCTTATTTACTTTAAAGATCTATTTATTTGAGAGAGAGAGAGAGAGAGTGCACATGAGTGGGAGGGGCAGAGGGAGAGGGAATCTCTAGCAGACTTCCTGCTGAGGCTCGATCCCACGACCCTAAGATCATGACCTGAGCCGAAACCAAGAGTCTGATGATCAACTGACCGCGCCACCTGGGCGCCTCCTGTCTTACTTACTTTAATCAAAGACAAAAGCTCTCTTATTCACTCTTATTTATTATACAGTGTTTTACAATGAAAAAATATTAAGCAATTGATATTAAAGTTATTCTCCACAGAGATGTTTAGCACAAACTAATAGCTAATGTTAAAAACATTTTTGCCAGACACATGGGGAAGCCGGATGATCTCACATAATTCCCAACACAGCCCTGTGTGGCACGTGCTGATATTAACTCCATTTTACATGTGAAGAAGCTGAGGCCACAGGAGTTAACATAATTTATCTGTGAAACCAGGTGGTCTGGCTCACAGTTTCTCTCTTAACTACTGTACTATCCCAATTTCTACATGAAAAGGATTTTAACAAATATGTTGAGTTAATTATTCCTAGAGATTTAATAGTATATAACACAGATTAACCACCTTTACCATTTCATTTACTTTTAGCTTCAAAGGATACCAGTAGACTGTTTAATACGAACCTGTGGTTTTTCTCCAATGGGAAATTATAGATCTAAAAATACTTTCTTACCTCAATTTCTAGTCATCAGATAATTAAAATTACCCTCCGAGTCTCCCTCTAGGTTAAACTAGAAATTTTAAATGTAAATTTAGAGTTAAATAAGTCCTTTTAACTGATTCTGAGGGGGGGGGAATATTTTGTCTCTTATACCCTTTCTGAAATCTATAATTTGTCCATATTCACACACAAACCTTTTTTTACACATTCTTTCCTTCGACATTGACCATTATCGAGCACTAACCAGGTGTGGTGGCCAGTGCTGAGCTCTGAGGGGGAGACAGGGTGCCGGTCGCCTCTGGGGAAGCTCAGACTACAGCTGATGAGTTATAATTGAAAGCTACCAGAAAGACTTGAAAGGCAGAGATCATGAAACAGGACCTTGTCTCTATTAGCACATTAACTACAGACATGCCGCCTCAAATAGATAATGATGATTTTTTTTTTAAGATTTTACTTTTTTATTTGACAGAGAGAGGTAGAGAGAGAGAGAGAGCACAAGCAGGGGGAGAGGGAAAAGCAGACTCCCAACCGAGGAGGGAGCACGATGCAGGACTCGATCCCAGGACCCTGGGATCACTACCTGAGCCGAAGGCAGTTGATTAACCAACTGAGCCACCCAGGCGATTTTTAAGTGCGGTTTGACTCCTAGTTTTCTACCTTCAGATTTAAAAAAAAAAAAAAAAATCATTCAGGATCAGCCTACACGGCTTCAGAGATTTTGAAATATGATTGAATTTAAATTTTTCTAAAGTGTAAGATAAAATGTGAGTCGAACCAGATTTATCTTTCTCGTCATTTTCTCTAAGACCTATCAGTAAGTCTAACTGTGGCATGACACGTGTATCTGATAAGAACTGGCAGGGCGACAGCAAATGCATGCCCAAAGTGATGTGTGCCTCCTTCTTCCCAGCGACTGCAACAGCAACAGGAATTCCATCGCCTCCTTCACCAGCATCTGCAGCAGCCAGTGCAGCTCCTACTTTCACAGTGATGAGATGGACTCAGGTGCGTTTGGCCGAGGCATGCATCCTTTCTGCTCCCTGTCCTCTGGGAGATACCTCTCAGGGACTACACCGTGTGATCGACCTGCGTTTTCACCTTGTATCAGTCATCCTTGGCAGCCACACGTGCTGGATGAAGTCAACGTCCCAATCCCCTTGTGAACAGAGTGAATTAAAAAGGGACGAGAGAAACAAATGAAGTCTGGTCTTAATATCTATTTTAGGAGTTTTCATGGTACTACAAGGAGGCTAGGTACACAGGAAGCAGGTTATACTAAAACATGAGGCGTTGTTGACTGTGTGAGGAGGCGGGTCGGGCTTTGAACCTGAGGGCTTCTGAGACAGTAGGTGCACGGGGAGCCGAATGATGAGGAAAACACTGACTGATAGATCTTACAGATATCTTATCTGGGGTGTGTTAAGAACCAAGACCTCGCATCCGATTAGGACACATCTTCATTTTGAAATATGCAGTTTATTTCAACTATTTAACAGTTAGAAAACTGCACTATTTGAAAAAATCATTGACATAAGATATATATTGTTTTTTCCTGTGAGGCACTCTGCTCACACCTCTATTTCAAAGAGCAATCATCTGATATCCTAATTGCTATTAAGTCCTTTGGAATTCTTTATCTGATCATGAGAACATGATGGAATAAGAGTGCGTGTTTATTATTTTATTTTTTAGTTTTATCTGTATCAAAATATTTTAGCATGTTAAACAAAGACGGATGATTTATTTTTTTATATCTAGGTGATGAGCTTCCCCTCAGCGTTCGCATTTCTCATGATAAACAGGACAAGATACATAGCTGCCTGGAGCATCTTTTCAGCCAGGTATGATTGGAACAGTTGTGGGTCTTTTTTTTTTCCACAGATCAAACTGTCAGGAATCCCTTTTTCAGACATAGTAAAAAGAGCTTAGAGTAAGAATGGAAAGGCCTCAATCTGCCCCTCCATCCCCTTCACCTCAATTTCCACAATTTAAAAGGCAATAAATATTCTTCAGCCAACGAACCCAAAGGATTGTTGTGACTGTCAAATATTTTATGGTTCTTGGAAGAAGTACAGTTATAAAAACAGGAGTTATTCTTTTTATTATTTGTTTCTTTGTAGGTTTTCAGAATTCTTTATGACACTTCTTGCTTAACTTTATTCCTAATTTCAAGAAGCACAAGATTCTCTTGGTGTTTGTGTTGGTGTTTTGCATTTTTTAAAAAGATTTACATCCAACACCGAAATTCCTAGTGTAAAAGCTTTTACTGCTTTGAAAAGGATTATGATGACTTTTAGGGTTTTTAAAAATATCTCTAGAAATCTTCTCTTGTAAAATGAATATATTGAGTATATTTATATCTTATATTAATATATGATGGGATAGTAAGAAATATTGCAAGTGTTATCAGTGAGTTTATTCCAATATTTTATTTAAAGATGGATTTTGCAAGCATCATGAGATTGCAAAAATAATTGTGGCTTTAAGACAAAAATATTTCACAAGGTTTACTCTTGGAAATGTATATTACTTATTATGAGAAGTATGTAACTTTCAGAAATCTCTGCTGTTATGGTAGGTGGATTCTATTACCAACCTCCTAAAAGGGCAAGCTATTGTAAGGGCCTTTGAGCAAACCAAGTACCTCACACCAGGTCAAGGATTACAAGGTAAGATTTAAAAAATCACTATTATAAGCAATCGGGAAACAAAGGTGGGAAATAATACAGTCATGAAGTAAAAGCATAGTGTAAGAGGAAAATGGCTGCTCATGTTTCATAATTGCCTTTATATTAATTCTGTTTTGATCATTTTTGAATATATATAAAAAGTCAGTATAGGATCTTTTAAATTTCTTTGCAAGTTTAAAAGGTGCAATGCCTGTAGGGACTAGAATAAATAGGAATGAGTTCATTGAAGAGATAGAAGTGTGGCATATGTGTGAAGTGTTTCAGCTTTTGCTGAAACCAGCATAATGCCTACTTGGTTGTAGCCTATTGGTTGGGGGAAGGGGTCTCGGGAATGTGCTTTTGGCAAACAGAACAGCCAAACAGAACAACATCTAGAGCTGCCATTTTCTGACATCTAGTTTCGGACGTTGAAAATAGAGTTTTTATCTAAATTTGCTCCTTTGTTTAAATGTTTGTAAGAAAGTAATAAGGTTAGTCTTTCTTTTTTAGATTTAACCGATTTTCTCCTGTAATATAACTAGAGAAAGTACCACCATGCTAATAACCCAGGACAACAGGAATGAAAGAGAATTCTGAAGCTCACAGATTTGTTAACTGTTTGGTAAATGGTTGAAACTTACAAGAGATTTTCTGTATTTATTTAGAATTTCAGCAGGAAATGGAACCAAAGCTGAGTTGTCCAAAAAGGTTAAGGCTTCACATCAAGCAAGACCCTTGGAATCTTCCCAGCAGTGTCCGGAATCTTGCTCAGAACATCAGAAAATTTGTTGAAGGTCAGGACGAAAAGCAAAGAATATTGCATAGTATTAGCAATAATCATTTAAAACCAAAAGTTCAGTAATGCCCTGATTACTTTTTGCAGTGTTTCATATAATGAGGAAAATCAAAGAACTGGAAAGGGTGAGGGAGGAAGGAAGCAAAAGAAAGAATAGGATTTTAGAGCCTTATGTTCCAAGGATCTAAATGATGTACACTGTATCATGGAGAATATTCTCAGTGAATAAAATAAGGGCTCATACTTGGGAGGACATGGAATGTGGAGAGTTTCATATTTTATAATATGAAACAATATCAGCAAAATTTCTGAAGGAGTCACAAAAGTCATGAAGCTAAGTTTTATGGGAAGCCTAAAAAATTAATTGTGAATCTGTGAGAATCAAAATAATAGGATAGCTTATATCATTGGTTTATAAGTTTCGTATTTGTCTAAGTTTATTGCTATTAACTATCATGACATTGTTTACTCAACATCCTCTAATTGATACAATCTGCAGTTGGAGATACAACATTTCAGGACAATTCTAGCGCATCTGATTACATGTTGTTTAGGGTCAGGGTACTAAGTAGAAAATTCTGAGAGTTTCCAAAACAAATATGGTGGAAAAGATGAAATGAGAAATTTGTTTAATGTTTTAAAATGCCTAATTCAGTGATTTTCTTCCCAGCATTAGACCAGGGGCTGGCGATATCTGGAGATATTTTTCGGTTGTGACAATTATGGGGGTGCCCCTGGCATCGAGTGTGTAGAGGCCAGAGATGCTGTGAAACGTTCTGCAATGTTCAGGACAGTCCCTCACAACAAAGAATTATTTGGCCCAAAATGTCAATAGTGCTGAGGTTAAGAAACCTCCACAATAAATAAGTATATGCCTGCATTTAAATTTTTATTCCTCAGTCGTTTGTATGTCAGTTGCATGTGTTAAGTAGTACTCAGCAGAATTACAGCATACCCCCAGTCCCTGCCATCTTTTTGAGGGTAAATTAGAGAGAGTTGTATACTTTGCTGACAAAAGACAGCTCTTAAATCTGATAGCATCTGAGCCTGTGACATAACTCCTTTGGGCCTCAGTTTCTTCTTTTACCGAAAGATAGAGATGTGTATATGTTTTGTGATTACTAAGTCGTCTGCCTCGAAATATACTCAGATATAACAGCTTAGATACTTATTAGAGATCAGTAGAGGAAAGGTTTGTACAGATATGGAAAACTCCAAATAAATCACGGCAATTCTATTGTGTGAAAAAATCTTTTGTTTTTGACAGCTGGATTTCTTGGCTACATTTTTATTTTATAGCTAAATATAATGGTTACTTGTGACAGATTATAACATCATATTTTTTTAAAAGATTTTATTTATTTATTTGAGAGAGCGAGAATGAGAGAGAGAGAGCACATGAGAGGGGGGAGGGTCAGAGGGAGAAGCAGACTCCCTGCTGAGCAGGGAGCCCGATGTGGGACTCTATCCTGGGACTCCAGGATCATGACCTGAGCCGAAGGCAGTCGCTTAACCAACTGAGCCACCCAGGCGCCCCTATAACATCATATTTAATGAAAAGTCTGAATTTAAAACCTCCCAAAGTAGTGAATAAAAAAAAAATGATAAATACATTTTGTAAAGACTGCTTGGTTTAAGGAATTTAAACATATATTTTACTGAGTAAAAAGTTTTTGTTTTTTTCTTTTTGTAGAATAAGTGCCAGTATCATAACACTCCTAGGAATTATAATTCATGAATCTAAATGCACTTGTTCTCTCTACCCCTGAAACTAATAATACACTATGTGTTAACTAACTTGAATTTAAATAAAATCTTTAAAAATATATAAATGCATTTGTTCTCATCATCTTTGAGGGTTTTTTTTTTACATTATAATTGTTTTCAGAGTAAATGCAATATCAGTTAAGAACAGAGAAATCTTTAAACCTTTTCTTGTTTTGGGCGCCTGGGTGGCTCAGTTGGTTAAGCAACTGCTTTCGGCTCAGGTCATGATCCTGGAGTCCCGGGATCGAGTCCCGCATCGGGCTCCCTGCTCGGCGAGCGGCCTGCTTCTCCCTCTAACCCTCCCCACTCTCATGTACTCTCTCTCTCTCATTCTCACTCTCTCAAAAAAATAAATAAATCTTTAAAAAAAAAAAAAAAACCTTTTCTTGTTTTGTTTTTTGAGGAGCTTTAAGATATAAACTTTTTCTAATGCAGGATAAAAAGCTTAATTTTTTTTTAGAGAAACTTTTTTACCTTTTTTTAAATTTTATTTTATTATGTTATGTTAATTACCATACATTACATCATTAGTTTTTGATGTAGTGTTCCATGATTCACTGTTTGCATATAACACCCACTGCTCCATTCAATACGTGCCCTCTTTAATAAGCTTAATTTATAATGGTATTTGTTTTAAAAATCTTACATTTTCATCTTAAGTCCTACTTTTATACCCTCAATACCTCACTCAAATCACAAGAAGCAGCTGTAGGAATGATAACTATTTATACATATTGATTGATGTATGTTGTGAATATAGACGCCACTCTTGGTCAGGGGAGCCCAACAGCTGGCTGAGTGTGGTTGGGTATGCTGAGTGTCTTCCAGTGAATGGTGTGGGGAGGGCTCTTTGCAAAATTTAAGTTATATCCCTGGTTGCAAGTTTTAGTGAGATGCAGTTATTCTTTGGATAAGTGCTGTGATTGTCACTATGTTAAATGAGTTTTTAAAAAATGATTAATCACTAGTTCAGCCCAATGGACTGTCAAGGAAGAGGTCATGCTGTCATTTCCTGGTCATCTGTGTGTTGTCTGGTCCTATTATACAGGATGGAAGCAGCAGCATTGAGATCCTTGTAATCAACTGCTTGTTATATTAGAAGTAACCTCACCAATTCATTATGAATTTATTCTATTCAACTTAAAGTAATTTTCATTCTATTTCCCAATTGTCTTTATATAAGGAATTGTTTAATGAAGGGTTAGGTCTTGGCTAGCAATTCAGTATAATGTCGCCTTGCCAGAATTTCGTGGTTTATATATGTAGCTGGGATAACCCCATTCTCATGTTTCTGTAGGGGATGAAAAAAGTAATGTCTTTTTTTCCTTCTCCCCTTCTAGGTTCTTTGGCTGGGCTCTATAAATTAGTCAGACTAAAGACAAATTAACAAGGGAAACACATAAATTTGTTTAATATGTTTTACATGATACAGGAGCCTTTGTAATGAAATGAAGACCAGAAGAAATGGTTAAACCTGAGTGCTTTTATACTAGGTTTGATAAAGAGTAGAAAGCTTTGGAAAAATGTGGTAGGATGAAAGGGTATGTGCTAAGGGTAGTAAACTAGAGAAACTTCACAAGGCCTGTTCCTCTCAGTGTCTCTCTATCATTGGAAATAAGGAAGCTCCTTTACTCTGGGATTGGGAAGGCACTTCTCACACAAGGGTTTTATGACCAGTTTCAGGGGAGTTGGGGGAGGTCAGAGAGACCTCCATACACGTGCTGTTTATCAGATTCCTTCAGCTTAAAATTTTCAGTATTGCCATATTTTGGGGTAGCGTGTTCTGAACCTCATCATTCGTTCATCTCTGAGTTCAAAATATCCTATCAAATATATACCAAATGGTATCAAAATATAATTCTATGATCTTTATATAGGAAGTTAGGAAGTACTGTTACAGTGCCATTCCTAAGCTACATCACCCTGTGTCATTCATGTGTTCATATCATAGCTTGCCAAACTGAGGGTAGAGGAGAGCAGAAAACACAGTGCGCTAAATGGGGGATAGATTCATTTTGTCCTGTCACTAAACACTAAGATGATGCCTGCCTCCTGCTTCATCACTACACTAAATTATGGTCTCAAGTTATCAGCCAACTGAAGATGTTTTTACTTGATTAGCACACTGTGATACTGTGATTTATATAAGAAATATATATTTGGTCTTTGTCCCCTTTCCTGGCACAGACTTCCTGAAACTCTTGGAATTTCTTATGATGAGAACTATAAAGGTATCTTTTGTTATGCCAGTGAGGTGACTTTTGGAAAACTTCTCAGAATGGGAGCAGGTTGCCAAGGAAGCCAACCATGTGATTAGAGGGTTGGAACTTTCAGTCCCACCCCCGACTTCTGGGAGTAGAGAGGGGCTGGAGATCAAGTTCAGACACCAATGACCAATGATTTAATCAGTCGTGCCCATATAATGAAGCCTCCGTAAGATCCCAAAAGGATGAGGTTCAGAGAGCTTCCACGTTGGTTTTAGAAGAGTGGTGCATGTAGAGAGCATGGAAGTGCTGCACCATTTCCCCATGCATTACCCAGTTCCTCTTCCACCTGGCTCCTGAGCTATATCCTTTTACCATAAATGGGTGATTTAGTAGGTAAAATGTTTCTCAGAGTTCTGTGAGCCACTGTAGCAAATTAATCAAATGTAAGAGAGAGTCACCGAAACCTCCAATCTGTAGCCAGTTAGTCAGAAGCATAGGTGACTTGTAGTTGGCACCTGAAGTGTGTGTGCGGTGGGGGGCAGTCTTGTGGAACTGAGCCCTTACCCTGTGAGATCTGATGCTATCTCCAGGTAGATAATGCCAGAATTGAGTTGAATTATAGGATACCCAGATAGTGTTAGACAATTGCTTGACGGTGTGGGGAAAAAAACCCACATTGGAACTGGTGACAGAATTGGACCCACCGTCACCTTAAATTCAAATGTTTATTAGTAAACACATTTTCAGTTCTTGCCCCCTACAAAAGTTGTACTCTTTTCAAAATCTCCCATTGTTTCAGCAACTTATATATTTTTTTTTTTCATTTTTTCCCTCTGCCTTTGTCCCAAATACCCTAAAGGACTTCTTCCTTTTTTGTTTTTTTAATGAAAAGTCTCCAGTTTTCCCCTTTTTCTTCTTACCTCAGTAGTTGGAACAGCTTTCTGGATGATCCCCCATCTCTGTCTTTTCTGATTTATATATTACTATATACTATATTCAACTTCCTAAAATATTATGTTCATTTTAGTACCCTGCCCCAGAACCATACAGTGATTTTTGTTAGATAAGTCTAAACTCATCGATCTGATGTTGGATGCTGTTTTTCAATGAGGCTTTCTAATTGTATCCCAATCTCAGTCTCTAAATGATATAATAAAATCTTTTCTATGCTAGATTGTTGGATATTTGGTATTCATTCTTTACTATATTCTCTTGCTAGCACTCTTTCCCACTCTTAGGATGTGTACCTACTCCCTTGACATTGTAACTTTAAAAAATTTAAAAACATTTTCAAGACTCAGAATTCTATACCAACTTTTTAGCTGGATTCAGATTACAATAATAACAGTGCTTCACAGATACACAGCATGTTAAATAATTTTTCAAGGCTTTTAATATATATCCCCATTTATTTTTCCTACACAGGCCTATAAAATAGATAAGATAGGTGTTATCAAAGTATGGTTGACCATTGAACAGCATAAAGGTTAGGGGCACTGACTCCCTGCACAGTCAAAAACCTGTGTATAGTTTTGACTCCCCCAAAACCTCACTACTAAGCTCACTGCTGACCAGAGCCTTACTGATAACATAAACAATCAGTTAGTACATATTTTGTATATTATATGTATCCTATATTGTATTCTTTCAATAAAGGAAGTTAGAGAAAAGAAAATGTTAAGAAAATCATGAAGAAAAGAAAAATACATTTATAGTACTATACTATGTTTATAGAAAAAATTCCACATATGAGTGGACCCATGCAGTTCAAACCTGTGTTGTTCAAGGGTCAACTATGGCTTAGCCATTTTCTGAAGACCGCAAAGCTAGTACAGGAGTACCCCATTATCCACTGTTTTGCTTTCCTGGGTTTCAGTTACTCTTAGTCAACGACAGTCCAGAAGGGGATGATCCTCTTTCTGACTTATTGTCAGAAGGTCAATAGTAGCCTAACTCTTTGTCACGATGCCTACATCATTCCCCTTACTTCATCTCATCACACAGGCATTTTATCATTTCACATCATCACAAGAAGAGTGAGTATGGTACAGTAAGATATTTTGAGAGAGAGAGAGAGACCACATTCATATAACTTTTAATACAGTGTATCATTATAATTATTCTATTTTATTACTAGTTCTTGTTGTTAATCTCTTACTGTGCCTAATTTGTAAATTAAACTTTGTCATAGGTATATGTATGTACAGGAAAAGCTGTAGTATATATAGGGTTTGGTACTATCCATGGTTTCAGGCACCCACTGGGGGTCTTGGAATGTCCCACATAGATAAAGGGGGATGACTGTAGCAGATGGGTCTTGTGACTCTTCGTCCAGGGTACTTTCCTGCCTCTGAAATTCTCTTGTTCTTGTGTTCTCACTTATAAAATGTCCTCTCAAGTATCTCCTATATTTCTTATCAGGTAATTTTGTCACTCTGACTCTATTGTGAACCTGTTTGGATTAGGATGCAACTTAACCTTTTTTATTTCCCATAATCTTGGACACATAAAGAAGCTCTGTATGTTTTTATATTTACTTATTGCGAGTAAACTATTTACCAATTAGAAGTAAAGCAATGAGTATGAAGTTAATACACATAATTTATCAAACATTTGTGATTGCTCTTATTTGGGGATGGGTTGGGAAAAAGGGTATTTGGAATTATTTAGTATTGTTCTGCCCTTTAGGGCAGTTCTTGACTTATAGATTGGAAAGGAAGTCTAAAGAGAGAGATTATATATATATAATATATACACTGTGTATATTACATATATACACATACACACACTATATAATCGCTAAGTATAATCTGTATAATTACATGTACTTTATAATTCTAATATATAATGAATAATATATGTATAATTATATATAAAGATTATAAAATGCATATATAATCTTTAAAAGTTTAAGTAACTAAGAAAAAATACTGTTTGAGAGCTTATTGATCAAGACCATAATAGCTATAGGAGTTTAGAGAACACCATGCAAACTACAGCAGTTAAGGATGACTTAACAAAGGTAGCAGGATTTGAATGGTGTTTCACAGGCTAATTTAATTCAGAACTGTAAGAAATTTTAGCATCTTGAGCAATGGATAGAATTTATATAGACAGATAGGAAGAACATCATGTGAACTAAATGGGATTTTTATTATCTAATATAGTAAGATTGTGCTAATTTTTACACAGTTAAAATGTGGAGCTAGTGACAGAAAAAGACTGAACAACTAACCGTTAATGTTTTCTTTTTCTGCAGAGGTAAAGTGTAGGATACTCCTGGCTCTTCTTGAATATTCAGGTAATATTTTTCATTTTTTTTTACTACTTGAAATTATTGTGGTCCATGACCTTAGAAGTTTCATGATACCAACGCAATGCCTTCAACAAATTAGATGGAAATTCAGTCCCTACTTCCTCTAAAATCTTTCAAAGATTTAAGAAAATACTTAGTTTTAATAAAAACATGCTCATCCTCAATTATAGGTACAAACATGGAAACGTATATAAGTATTTATATAGAATATAGGTAAAAAGGAGAAAGGAAGCAGGTTTGGGTAAAGTTAATTGTGCAAATGGGATTTATTGTGGAACTATGTCTAACTTTTGTTTATGAACAAGGATGTAGGTGGGCTCAGATTGAAGGGGTGGAAAAGCAGACCTGTACTTTGGAAGGAGGCGGCTTTTACAATCTACCACACCTGGAAAATTTAAATTATAAGTGAATGAATGAGTCAAGTTAACCAGAGGGCTTTTTTTTGTTTGTTGGCCGGTTTTTGCTTTAATTAAACACGTAGTTGTCTTGCTTTTTTGACTGAGTAATAACAAAAATATCTTAGTTTTTTTAGTTTTACTAATAAACACACAGTTGATAGACCTCATATTTATGAATTTCCTTGGGTCCTCACAATCACTGTATGAGAATATTATTATCTTTCCACAGGTTTAAAAGTGAAGAAATTAACATTCAGGCTGATTAATAATAATAACTAGAAATGGTATTCATTCAACACATACTTTTGAGCATCTGGAAGATTAGATGCTTGATTGAGTAAATGCATAAATAGTAGGTGGCAGATGAAATTCAGACTTAGTTATGGCAATTCCAGAAGTGGTCCTGGAATGCACTGCTGTATTAATTAATATTCAAATGGCTATTCTTATAGATCCTTATTTTGATTTCAATTTTATTTTTCTATTCCTGTCATAAGTCTCCTTTTTCCTACTTTTTTTCCCCTCGTTTACATAGGATGGCACCAGAATGTAGCCAAATTACTCCATATTGTTGGCTGCAGAATTATGCTCTCCACTTGAAAAGGGTAGATTGTGTCAGCTAAATATTATTTTTAACTCACCTCTATTCCTATCCTTCTCTCTCTGTAATCTCTCTTTTATCTCTCTGTTGTTATTTTTTTATTATTATTTTCTTTTCCCTACAGTCTCAGAATAATGACTGGGATTACTTGTGTGTCTGTTATTCTTTTTAGACCAGCTATGGAATTTGAGCTTTTTAAACCGTGGAGAGTAAATAAAGTGTTACTATTTTAAAACATGTCTGTAGAAGGTGAGTTTAAGTAGGTGCTCAAATACTGGAATGAAACGGAAGCCTTTGATAAGTAAAACATCCATTTCTTTTGAGTGTATTCCCACTACAAGAGAATTCTTACTCTGCAGAAACAATAAACAATAAACAAACTGTCACCAAAAAACAGCTCCCTGCTTTTCTTCTTTTGCTGGAAGCTGGAAGCAGCTGTTGTTGATCCTGCCATAGTTCTTATTGATAAAAATGAGGAATGCGAATAGTTTTGGGGAAGGATGGACATTCGTGAATTTCGAACAGCTGCGTAATTAATAGAAGAGACTTGTCAGTTTTTCTTGGGAGTTTGCTTATATTGGTGTCTTTATTCATCATATGGTTCCTTCCCTGGTCAGCAATAGAACTGAGCCCCATTCAGTGCCAGGCACCCTGCTAGATGCTGGAGAAAAGAAAAATCACAATAACAATACTGTGCAATTTCACTTTGCTAACTAAGCCATTTATCTTTATATCTCGTTTATCTTTATTGCAGATCTAAGTAGAAATAACCCATAATATATAAAGGAATCTGATACCTAGGATTATATGGTTTAAAATGAGTGGAATGGGTAGATGAAAGCAGATTATATGTCTCTAGGTCCATGAGCACCATTCACATTATATGCTACTTCCTCTGTCCTTGATGTGCTGGTGTTCTCTTGGGGAACCCAAACATGTAAACAAACTCCCACACTGCTGAGTGATGAGCCATCTAGTATAGGCATGTCCCCTGGACCGTGATGGCAGAGCAGGAACTCCATAATACCTATGGAAGGAGAGAGGAAATTTTGCAAGGGTAGGTAATATTTCAGTAGTTCAATGGGTTCCAGTAGTTCAAGCAGTTGACTCTTAAGAACCATTTATTTTATTTTATTTTTTTTATTATGTTCAGTTAGCCACTGTATAGTACGTCATTAGTTTTTGAGGTAATGTTCAATGATTCATTAGTTGTGTGTAACACCCAGTGCTCATCACAACACGTGCCCTCCTTAATACCCATCACCCTGTTACCACACCCCCCTCCCCTCTGAAACCCTCAGTTTGTTTCCCAGGGTCCATAGTCTCTCATGGTTCGTCTCCCTCTCTGATTTCTCCCCCTTTAGATTCCCCTCCCTTCCCTTATGGTCCTCTGTGCTATTGCTTATGTTCCACATATGAGAGAAACCATATGATAATTGTCTTTCTCTGCTTGACTTACTTCACTTAGCATAATCCCCAATACAGATAAAGGGCTGTTATCTAAGATCTATAAAGAACTTCTCAAACTCAACACTCAAAAAACAAATAACCCAGTCAAAAAATGGGCAGACGACATGAACAGACACTTCTCCAAAGAAGACATACAGATGGCTAACAGACACATGAAAAAATGCTCAACACCACTAGCCATCAGGGAAATACAAATCAAAACCACAATGAGATACCACCTTATCCCAGTTAGAATGGCAAAAATTAACAAAACAGGAAACAGCAAATGTTGGCGAGGATGTGGAGAAAGGGGAACCCTCCTAGACTGTTGGTGGGAATGCAAGCTGGTACCGCCACTCTGGAAAACAGTATGGAGGTTCCTCAAGATGTTAAAAATAGAGCTACCCTATGACCCAGCAATTGCACTACTAGGTATTTACCCCAAAGATACAGATGTAGTGAAAAGAAGGGGCACGTGCACCCCAATGTTCAGAGCAGCAATGTCCACGATAGCCAAACTGTGGAAGGACAATTTAAAGTTTGCTGGTGGAGAGGGTGGGAAAGTGCCCACGGCCAGAAGGCCCATGGACAAAGGTGGGAGCTATAAGAGCATTTATAAGGGCATTTAGCATTTGAGGAACCTGAGCAGTGGTGGGTGGCTCAAAGAGAAGAGTTCTGTACAGCCAGGGTTCTGGCTACTTTCAGATACATTGTTTTGTTATATTCTCATAACAAGCCTGGGAAGATTGTTGCTGGTGTAGAGGATGAATGAAGGGAAGTAATGCATTTATAAGCTGTCAGCATAACTTGAGGGTAGATTGTATAGACCCCTTTCTGCCACTCTGACTTTTTTACCTTTATTACTCACTGGGAGGTGATAATGTGTACAGTTACTTGAAAAAGTATGTACAGTTACTTGAAAAAGTATCATCAGTATGATGGGCATATTGAAGTCTATGCAAACAAGTCATTTACTCTATGGGAAATAGGAAAGTGCAACTCAAAATCACCTCATAAAGTAGTAAGGAGTTGTAAGGTGTTTCAGATTTTCATTTGAAAATATGTTGGTTTGAAATTTAAATGTCAGTGTGGTCCAGGGCATATTGTGTATCAAATTCTCTTACTCTGCTGTGAGCATAGACATGGCCGAGGCCTCAACTTGGACACCTTCAAACCCCCAGTAATTGGTGCCATGTTTAATTCCTGTGGTGTATTCAGTGCAAAAAGTTTGAAGTAATGAAGAAATACAACTTTTATGTGATCAGTTTTGATTTGAGAATGAGGTTGAATGAAAATTTTATTGCTTAAAATGCATATAGAATATAGTAGCAGAATGTAAACATTTAAGTATTCTAAGGTTAAAAAAAAGGGCATTTCTTCTCAAAAGCAGTTTGAAGATAACTATTTCTGCTAGTGGCAAAGTTACTAACCCTTGTGATCTAAAGGTTTTTCAGTGGAACTGGATCCTTCCTTCTCTAACTTGAGCTTTCCATTGTTGATAGAAGGCATTTCTTTCCAATTCAGTTTTGATTATGAAATTATTCTCAGGTTATAAGTGGAAGTATTTCTGCCAAAACTACTGAAGGATTATTTTAATTTCCCTAGATTTTCTGCTTTGCTATAGAACAACAGAAAGCAAAACAAGACTGTACAATAAAGATATAGGGCAATTTTATTTAGTTTCTGTCTTGCATCTCAGCACTGCAGCTACACATTTGGGTTAACAAGCTATGTGAATTACCCTTTTAGGTCAGACTAAATCCAGACACTACAAGAAGAGAATGAGCTCATACATTTTCATTTCACTTAATTTGTTTGTTAGTTGCTCTACTGGTTATTTTCATCTATTAATTCAGTAAATAGTTACTGAATGTCTACACTTTGTTAGAAATTGTGTACAACAACAGAATAGGTGTTTTGCTTTTTTCTTAATCAAGAATTGGACAAAGTTTTTTCCTACTTGAGCTATTTTACAGTTACTTGTAAAACACTCTTTTCCATCTATTTGAATGAGGCACATGGTATATAATTACTTAAGGGAAATGTCTGACACATGTTATTGATTAAATTAATAAGTTGAACCATATGGAACTGCCATATTTGACCATTTTGACCAAGTAAAGCAACAAGTTCGTATAGATCAACATAATAAATGAATATTTTATTATAAAATTAAATATTTTAAATATTTAATCCTTTTTCTAATAAAATTTTCAAGAGTAGCTTTTACTAACAGTGAAACGAGGTAACACACAGCAATTACATTATGTGTTCACATGCCTTTGATGGTTATTAAAAACATATGTTCGTTGTTCTTGGTAAACAACTTAAAAATTATGCCTTTTTATCGGTAAAGCAAGAACTCATGGCAACATTTATGTCTATGTTATGCACTAATATTGACAGTGCTTCTTCATTTCAGAAAATTCTGAGCCCTTGAAATATTCAATACACTTCTGAAAATACAAGTATTTTTTCTTTTGTTGTTCATCTAGTACAAGTGATTTCTCAATGTACAGAATGTATGGCTTGGCATTTATATAGTTCATGGAGTTTGTAAATATCCAAAAATGCAAAGAGGTGAATCTCTGTGATCAGGTTCTCAGAGGCAAGCTTCTTTCCACTTGAAAAAACTGTGGCCCAGGAGTGGCCATTCACAGGTAAATATAGCCTAAATATGGGTCAATCAAAAATCCAGCCAACTGCAGAATAAGAATCCTGGTGAAAATCAATGTATGTTAAACTGTAAACATATTCCTTATTTCAGAGAAATACAATAATTTATAAACTGGACATGTTTATAACTCATGAAGTTTAATAGGTAAATCCAAGAGATCCAGATTTGCTTATTGTTACAATCAGACATCAATACTCTTTCCCCATGTGCACTTCACCTTAATATTTGAGTAAGTTTATTAGGTCATTTAAAAAAATTAGTATTGGGGCGCCTGGGTGGCTCAGTCGGTTAAGCATCTGCCTTCGGCCCAGGTCATGATCTCGGGGTCCTGGGATCGAGTCCCACATTGGGCTCCCTGCTAAGCAGGGAGTCTGCTTCTCCCTCTGCCGCTGCCCCCTCCCCCTGCTCATGCTCTCTCTCTCTCTCTCTCTCTCTCCTCCCTCCCCCCTCCCCTCGCTGTCCCTCTCAAATAAATAAATAAAATCTTTAAAAAAATAAAAATAAAAATAAAAAAATTAGTATTAATGTATTTCATTGCCAACACAAACTAAAAAATTGGACTTTGATTTTCCTTTAGGGAGTATCATGCAACAAACACAAACTGTGTTCCATCAAAAAATAACCAAACCCTCATTTTTTTCCCTTGGGTTTTATAAAACAATTTAATGATTGCAAAATAAAGTCACAATTAAGAAAAACTTAATTTTTTTTTACATTTTTCTGGTGTTTAATATTTCCTAAAAAGTGTATGTGCTAAAGTGTTTGTGCTTATTAGTAGAGCTCAAATTCACATTTTTCACATGGTTTGAGTTTGGTGAAAGGATGAAATAACACCAGCTATATATGCTTAATGAATTGGTTTTCTTTACCTGTGACATTTTTCCAAAACTGTCTTTATGTCTTCCTGGCTTACAGACAGTGAGACACAGCTCCGAAGAGACATGGTTTTCTGCCAAAGTCTTGTGGCCACTGTGTGTGCCTTCTCCGAGCAGCTCATGGCAGCCTTAAACCAGATGTTTGACAACAGCAAAGACAATGAGATGGACACGGGAGAAGCCAGCAGAAGGTGGCTGGACCAGATAGCGAATGCAGGTGTTCTTTTTCACTTCCAGTCACTCCTGTCGCCAAACCTGGTAAGGAATCACAATGCCTCCCACTGGAGCATACGTTGTAACATATTCCCAGGTAAGAAGTGGTTATTCATTATGTGTCAGCAGTCAGCTACTGAAAAGAATGCATTTTGCCAGGGGCAAATATGATTTAGGTAAGTAGATAGAAGGTATTCCTTCTTTCCTGATTTTTATTTGCTCTCCGGCTGCAAAAAGCTGAGAAAGCCTCCATCTGTTACTAATTCCTGTATCCCTAAGCACTGACTGAGAAAGATCATCAGAGGGAAGAGGGTCTTTCTGCTGTGGTTCCTTATTTCCAGTCCAGAAGAAACAGCCTGCCATGAAACCCAAGCTCCCATTGAGGTTGATGTTGGGAGCATGCTTGATAGACAATATCTGACAACTTGCATGCCATACTGTCTGACAGTCTGTTTAAAATTTGTGTATGTTCAATGATTTTATTTCCTTTCTTTGTATGCATGTTTGTCCTGTTAAATCTAAGAATATTCCATATTCCATATTTATGCATCCATTTCCCACAGTGCGTATGAGGAAAGTATCTCAAAATATTTGACAAATAAAAGTGGTTTTTTAACATATCCTTTTTGTGGTTCTGATAGTTGTCATGATGTTTAAGGCAAATATGTTCACTCTTATATATACACTTAAGGAGCTCATTAAATAGAATCGTGATTTTATTTTATTTTTTTTAAAGATTTTATTTATTTATTTGAGAGAGAGAATGAGAGATAGAGAGCACGAGAGGGAAGAGGGTCAGAGGGAGAAGCAGACTCCCCGCTGAGCCCGTTGTGGGACTCAATCCCGGGACTCCAGGATCATGACCTGAGCCGAAGGCAGTCGCTTAACCAACTGAGCCACCCAGGTGCCCTAAATAGAATCGTGATTTTAAACATGAGATGCTGTGTCACCCGTTAAATTACACACAGAATATGTGGCTACCAAGTAACGGTTGAGTTTTTAAACAGATGTATGTGACTTTATATGGACTATACACTTTAATGAGGATAGGAAGGTAACTGCAGTATTGCAGTCGTAAAATGGTTCTGGAATGAAAGGTAAGGAAGTCCACCTCAGTGTACTTCAGAGAAACAGATACTTTTGAAAAGATTTCTATGCACTCCATGTTGGTGATCAGTTTCTTATTTGGTTGCCAGTAAAACTAAGAAAGGTTAACTAATGAAAATTTTGAAATAAGGCACTTTTAGAAATGTTTTAAAATTTAAAAAAATATTAATTAATCATTTCTTATCAAATAGAAATTATATAAGATAGGAAGGCCACTTCCTAACACATGGTAACATGAAGTGTCTGTTGAATGAGTGAATGAATGAGGCTTCATTCCTATTCTACTCCTACTTTAAAACTGCCATTATTTAATCTACTAGTAGTAGAATTTCTGGGTAATATGGAAATTCTATGTTTAACATTTTGAAGAAGTGCCATACTATTTTCCGAAATGGCTACACTGACCTCAGTGTCCATCAATAGACAAATGAATATATGATGTACAATACACACACACACACACACCACACACACACAGGAATATTACTCAGCCATAAAAAAGATGAGATCTTGCCATTTGTGACAACATGGATGGACCTAGAGGGTATAATGTTAGGTGAAATAAGTCAGATTGAGAAAGACAAATACCATATGATTTCACTTATATGTGGAATCTAAAGAACAAAACAAATGGGGGAGCTTGGGTGGCTCAGCTGTTAAGCATCTGCTTCGGCTCAGGTCATGGTCCCAGGGTCCTGGGATCGAGCCCTGCATCGGGCTCCCCGTTCTGCGGGAAGCCTGCTTCTCCCTCTCCCACTCCCCCTGCGTGTGTTCCCTCTCTCGCCGTCTCTCTCTCTGTCAAATAAATAAATAAAATCTTAAAAAAAAAAAAAAAAAAAACAAATGAATAAACAAACAAAAGACAGATTCATACCTATAAATACCACAACAAACTGACAGTTGCCAAAGGGAAGGATGGGCAAAATGGATAAAGGGTAGTGGGAGATGCAAGCTTCCAGTTGTGGAATGAATAAGTCATGGGAATAAAAGGCACAGCATAAGGAAAAATAAAAAAAAGCACAGCATAGGGAATATAGTTAGTGGTATTGTAATAGTGTCGTATGGTGACAGATATGGTGACATATCACTATGTTATACACCTGAAACTAATGTAACATTGTGTGTCAACTGTACTCAAATTAGAGAAATATATATATGAAATTTTTAAAAATGGCTGTACTATTTTATATTCCCACCAGCAATGTATGAGGGTTACAGTTTCTCCTTACCAACACTTGTGATTGTCTGTTGCATTATAGCCATCCACCTCACAAGTGTAGTATCTCACGGCAGTTTTGAGTTGCGTTTCCCCAATGGCTAATGATGTTGATCATCTTTTCATGGGCTTTTTGGCCATTCTACATCTTCTTTGGAGAAACACCTATTCAAATCCTTTGTGTGCTTTTTAATTGAATTGCCTTTTTATTGTTTTAAGTTTTGAGAATTCCTTCTAGAGGCTGGATATAAGTCACTTATCAGATATATAAACTACAAATATTTTCTCCCATTCCTTGGAACTGCAAACAAAGTTAAATTTAAAGTAAAAGTCCCAGCACTTGATTAAACTACTACTACTATGTAATATCCAAGAGAAATGAAAACTTTTGCACAAAAACTTGTACACAGATATTCTTTGCAAGATTATTCATAATAGCTTAAAAGTAGAAACAGCCCAAATGTCCATGAGTTGCTAATTGGATAAATGAGTTGTGGTACAGACATACCATAGAATATTATTCAGCAGTAAAAGAAGAATGGAATACTGACACATGCTACAACATGGACGGACCTTGAAAACATTATGCTGAGTGAAATAAGCCAGTTGCAAAAGACCACATATTATCTGGGTCCATTATTATGTTATATGTGAAATAAGCAAATTTCAGAGACTGAAAGCAGACTAGTGGTTGCCTGGGGCCCAGGACCGGGGAAAAGGATGTGGGGCATGAATACTAGTGGTATGAAGTTCCTTTGTAGGGTGGTGCAAATATAGTAAAATTAGATTATGGTGTTAGTTGCACAACTCTGTGAATATACTAAAAATGCCTACACTATACACTTTAAATGGTGAATTTTATATATGTGAATTACATCTCAAGAAACTGTTTTTTTCTTAGTCTTTTGAAACCCTTAACTTCATTTAAAGATTTGATAAAAAATCCAAAGTTGCTTTTAAAAAAAAATCAAAGAAACCCATATTTTGTCTGCCTCTGGTAACAAGCGCATAAAAGTGTGGAAGGTTCTCTGGGAGCTGCAGGAGCCAGGAGTGTGTGTGTTCCTGAGCTCTGAGCACAATCCATAGTCACTTGGGTATCACTTTAGCCACATCTGCTGAAGCATCATGGCTTGCACTGTAGCAACCAGAGGCCCACCTGTTTGGGACATTTCTTCTTTGTATGTATTCTTCTTAATTGGGAAAATACTGATTCTTCAGTCCTGTTCTTCCTATTCCAGGTTCATGGCATATACTCTTGCTTACTTCAGTGGACTTTAAAAATTAACAGTTCACTAAACATTTTTCCAGCACTTACTGTGTACCATATACTGCATTAAGTAGTACCAAACCAAGGTGCAAAGGTGATGATTGTCTTAATTTTTTGGTTTCCATGCTATAGATCTGGGTTGCCTTGGTGATTCTTTTGCACACAATGGACATTCTTTACTATCTCCTTCACCCTCTATTCATGCTGCCCAAAAAATATAGCTATAAGCTTATGGCAACTTTTAAAAATGTTTATAAAGTGGGGCGCCTGGGTGGCTCAGTCAGTTAAGCATCCAACTCTTGATCTCAGCTCAGGTCTTGATCTCAGGGTCATGAGTCCAAGCCCTGGGCTGGACTCCACACTGGGGTTGGAGCTTACTTAAAAAAAGTGTATATTAAAGCATGTTAAAATCATTATTTAAAAGGATCATTGATATTCTTAAGGAAACAAGTGTTACATTTAAAAGATAAGCTGTGTATGATAAGGCTAATTATTCTTTCATCATGCACAAAACTGCTAATAGGAAGGCCAGAATGTAGTACTAGAAAGATAATATTGCTGAAACATGCACTGAACTTGTTACCGCGTCTGGGCTTACTTGCCTCAACTGTAAAATAATATGCTGTTAGAATGAAAGGAGTGATTAAAACAAATCAGATTGCATAGTCACAGGATTTTAGATTAAGGCCCTATAAAGGCAAGTAACATAAAAATGATTCTTGTCCCCAAGATCTTTGGAAGAAAATTCATTGCATACATGCAAATTGCTTTTATTATTATAAACAGGATGGCAACTATGTACTGTAGCTTTTCAATAAAACGATATTCTTGCCTTTTAGCTGTTACATTTTTAAGATTATAGAAGTTTAGAGGCAGATAGATGCTTGATGTATACACATTTTTTTGTAAATGTTAAAAATCATTATGAGGAATTCTTAATCTCAGAAAACAAACTGAGGGTTGCTGGAGTGGTGGGGGGTGGGAGGGATGGGGTGGCTGGGTGATAGATATTGGGGAGGGTATGTGCTATGGTGAGCGCTGTGAATTGTGTAAGACTGATGAATCATAGACCTGTACCTCTGAAACAAATAATACATTATATGTTAAAAAAAAAAAAAAGTAGGAAGGGAAAAATGAAGGGGGGGAAATCGGAGGGGGAGAGGAACCATGAGAGACTATGGACTCTGAGAAACAAACTGAGGGTTCTAGAGGGGAGGGGGTGGGGGGATGGGTTAGCCTAGTGATGGGTATTAAAGAGGGCACGTTCTGCATGGAGCACTGGGTGTTATACGCAAACAATGAATCGTGGAACACTACATCAAAAAGTAATGATGTGATGTATGGTGATTAACATAACATAATAAAATTTTAAAAAATCAATACAGTTTGAATCTAGCTATAAAATAGACTGAAAAGTTGTGTAGAACCATTTAGATAATCTAGAAAAAGAAAAATCTAAAACTATAAAAAAGACTTGTAACTTGGAGGGATTTGTTGATTTCATTTTAGGCAGTAAATTCTTAGATAAGTGTTGGTAATTTGGTTTGCATGTAAATAAAACACAAGCGAAGCTACTTAAGGTCCGGCGATGTGATGTTATGTTATGGTCTATCCTATACAATTCTATCATATCATGTATTGTTTCCTTTCCTTTTAGACAGATGAACAAGCCATGCTAGAAGATACACTTGTTGCACTATTTGATTTGGAAAAAGTTTCTTTTTACTTTAAGCCATCAGAAGAGGAACCACTGGTTGCAAGTAAGTAGTTAAATGGTTCATAGGTGTTTCATAGAATTTTTTTGGCATCAAACAACATATGGCATAACTTTGATATTAATATATTTGATATATAGTTCAAATTGTTTTATACAAAATATTGTATTTAGGGGAAAATAATAATAACCAACTGTGGAAGTGATAGAAAATACATATAATTTAAATCTATAGATAATGCTAAGCTTTTATTTTCATCTATTAGTTTGGCCTCCAAAACTTTTCTTGAGTGTGTGCATCAAAATTTTGTTCTAGTCAAGATTTTCTTTTTTTTTTTCCTGTTACTGTGATAAAATATATAAATGATAGTTTACCATTTAACCAGTTTTCAGTGTACAATTCAGTGGCATTAATTACCTTCACAATGTTGTACAACCATTTCCACCACCCATCTTCAAAACTTTTTCATCCTACTTAACAGAAACTCCATACTCATTACCCAATAACTCCCCATTCTTCCTCCTCCGGTCCATAGTAACCTCTATTCTACCTTCTGTCTCTATGCAGGTGCATAGAGTACTTTACATAAGTGGGATCATAGAATATTTGTCCTCTCTGCTGCTTTTATCATGTCAATTTTTTTAAATAAAAGGACTGCCCTAATATTTCTGGCTATAGTGGATAAACTCAGTGTCCTCCAGGATTTTATGCAAATATATAACAATTATATAGCAAAACAGACTGAATTGAGTTTTCCTTTCTTATTTCAGTTGATCCTGTAGAGAATGTATTAGCAGGCAATGAATACAAGTATTTAGGGCCAAGAAGAAAGAGAGGAAGCCTAAGTTATGTTCATATTGTGTAAAATTTAGATCTAAACCAATCAAGAAAGACATAATTATTTGATTTGGCAATAATGGGTAAAATTTATAATTCAGAAGATGTAAACATATATTCTACATTTTCCCTACCTTAACAATGAAAATGGCAATCATTACATCTGAGTGTCAAATTTTAATGTGTATAAATTATAATTACATTAAGTGTCTTGATTCATTTATTTATCCTGTACTACTTCCAAGATGGCAAAATCTTTCCTGTCTTGTTTGCTGTCATATCTCCAGCACCCAAGAGAGTGTCTGTAATGAAAAAGGCAATATTTTTTTTTCAAGGAAATGAATGAATAAATATCAATTAAGTGTATACAGTCAGTAGGAAAAATGGTTTGTTTTTGTTTTTGTTTTTTTAAGATTCCATTTATCCAACAGTGAGAGACACAGCAAGAGAGGGAACACAAGCAGGGGGAGTGGGAGAGGGAGAAGCAGGCTTCCCGCGGAGCCGGGAGCCCGATGCAGGGCTCCATCCCAGGACCCTGGGATCATGACCTGAGCCGAAGGCAGACACTTAACGACTGAGCCACCCAGGCGCCCCAGGAAAAATGGTTTTATGGTTACAAAAATAGAAGGAAGAAACAGGTATAAAGAATAAAGAAGAGAATTTCAAAAGAACATAGTTGTAACTAATGTTGCAAAGAAGTTACTTTATGAATGGAATTGAAGGATTGAAGAGTAACCCTTCAATTTTGCCTTTTGCCATCGTTAAACCTAACAAGGGGAATATTTTAGAAGCATACATTCAGAGAAATAGAAATAGCTAGGCTTTAATCTCTATATCTTTGCTGCAAGTTATCATCATTTATCTACCATTTCAACATTATCATGAATAGGCTTAAAATGTATCTATCAACCCAAGAAATCTTTAGCAGTTTGTTATTTTTCTGTTTCTTGTTTTTATCGGAAGTGTGAGGGTCCTGTGTATTACATAAGGTAGAAGATGTGAACTTCTTCAGGGCTGGGAAAGGTTCTTATTTGTTTTCATATTCCTAATGTATAGAATGGTAAGTAGGAACCCAATAAATATTCATTTAAATCATTAAATAATCATTTAGTCTGATTTAAGAATGATGAGCATACATTCATTCATCAGAATTTCTTAAATCCTACTTAGGGCCAAGCACTATTCTAGGTGTTGGATACAGGAGAGTACTAAGTAAACATATCCCTCTTGGAGCTGATATTCAAGTGGGGAGAGATTAATAATAAGCAACATAAATAACTTAATTTGATCATAAACTAGAAGACAATAATATGAATGTATGAGAGGAAATAGAAGAGAACAAAGGATAACAATGCGGGGGCAGGTGAGAGGTTGCAAATATTTAAGAAGCCAGGAAAGCCTTACCAAAAAGGAGGGCAAAGACCTAAAGAGGTGGAGAGGTATTTGGAAGAGGCGTGTTCCAGACTCTGAGGTGGGAACAAGTGTAGCATGCTCTCAGGATAGCAAGGAGGCCTGTGTGACTGGGGGGCATGGGTGAGGTGAAAGAGCAGGGCATGAGAACAGAGAGGCGGCCAGACCATTGAAAGAACTTCGCCTTTCTAATTAAGCCACGGAGCAGAGGAATGACATGATCTGGCCTACATAGTGAAGGCTACCTCTAACTGCTGTGTTGAATAGAGCACTGTTGGGGTCAAGGACAGGAGCACAACGACCAGTTAGGAAGCTACTTCAGTGGCCCAGGTTGAAAGATGACGGCGACTTGACCTTGAGGGTAGCTGTGGGGATGGTAAAAGTTGATTCTGTATGTATTAAATTATGAAGGTAGAGAGAACAGAATTTTATTAAAGTTTCATCTTCACTGACAAATGAGAGAGAATGAGAACATGAATTACAACGTTAAGGATTTAGGTTATATTCAAGGGAGAACTTGGTAAAGGGGATTAATTGATAAGGATAATATTATTTCAACAAGTTGTATGGTCTTCTGTGGGCATGTATAAAATAGAATATATTTTCATTTACTTTAATAATGTAGGCATAATTTTGCCAAAGGCAGAGAAATTCTATTTTCACATTATAGCCTGTTTTTCCTTTTAAATTTGGCTTGAGGAGCCGTAAGCTCACAGGAGTACTGTTTTCCATTGTTCAAATATGACATTACTGGTGAATGGTCTGTTGAACAAGCAGGCAAGGAAGCCGTGTTATAAGCTCGATAAAATACTTACTTATTGCATAGCTACCATGAGAGATTTAACTTCATATTGAAAAATATAATACATATTAAAGATTAAATAATTAAGACCATGTAATATTCATATATAAATGCACATATATCTGTGACAAACATAAAAATTCGTATATATTTTTAAGTATTTCCCCAAAGGTTAACCTCAACTTCTGTGAAAACAGATCCCTAGTGAATGGTCACTTGCCATGCTACACTATCAGATATTCCAAGCAAGTTACTAACAGTGATGACAGGAGTATAGTTATCCTTTTAAGTTAATTCAGGAAAGAAGAGAATTTTTCAATACCCAAGTCTCATCACATCCTATCTAAGTGGTGGAAGGAAACTAGAGCTTTATTATTAATTGCATGTGATTTGATCCTTCTGTAAGCTTAGAAGCAGAGGCATCAGATCAACAAATTAATTTGCATCACTGTAGTGAAGACTCTTGGCTGCATGTCTTTGAGGGAAGGACCCAGTGCAAGTACAGAGGGGAGGAAGCATGAAGATAGAAAGAGAACACTGATTTTGAAGATAAGAAACTTGAGTTCCAACCCTACACCCCTCTTATCCACAAACATGAGAGTACTAGCTTTCCCTGACTCATGGGGCTTAAATAAGATCATGTATTCAAAAGTCTCTAGCATTATGTGAGACTCATGGTGGTATTCAGTAAATACTTGAATCCATCCTCCTCACTTTATTACTCTGTATTATTTTTAAAAAGCTGTATTTAGCATTGCTCATCATCATATTTTTTGCATTAAAGAATAATGAGATTTTGAAGAAATACGGCATGCCAGGCAAGGAGAACTCAAATATCTGGATTGAAGACATTTTATTTTCTTTGAAGAAATAATTATTAAGTATATACACCATACCAAATGCTGAACTAAGTTCTGGAGATATAGTAGTGACTAAATAAAGACCCTGTTGTTGCAACTTAGAAAGTAGTGAGAGACACAAAGTGGCAGTGTAACCCACTACAGTATGGGGAAAGTACCAGATCCTTCCTATGCCATATTATGTAATTAGTGAAGGAGCAGTAAGTGAGCTAAATGATTAGGTTGTATAAAACTAAATATATTTTGGGGGGCCGAGCAAGATGGCGGAGGAGTAGGAGACCTGGATTTCGTCTGGTCTCAGGAATTCAGCTGAATAGGGATCAAACCATTCTGAACACCTACGAA